TTGATGTTCAACAGTTCATGACTCTTGTGGGATTATAATACCTGAACCCACCTCCCCAGCAGCCACGACAGGAGGGTGCATATCACATGACGTGACCTTGGGAGCTTGACCTGAGGATGGAAGACGATCCACCTGGGTATTGTTCTCTCTCTCTCTCTCTCTCTCTCTCTCTCTCTCTCTCTCTCTCTCTCTCTCTCTCTCTCAACACACACAGGTACAAGCGTGTGGTCTTACATTCATAATCTTACTGGAACCTTAACAGTAAGATTAATTACCTCGCTTCCCACCTGTTACTTCCGACCACCTTATTAAAACTGTTTCATCTTGTTACCACACGCTCACACACACACACACACACACACACAAACGCACACAGACCTCCACGACTTACAGTACGTACACAAAGAACACCCCCTTTCCCCCCTCTCCTACCATCCACTTCCCCTGCCTCACCATCCACCTCCACACCCCCCCTCCCCCTCTCATTCCCGGAAAACACGACCCCCTCCCTTCCACCGCCCCTTTCCCTCCCTATAATAGCTTATGAACAATATACAATGTCACTTATTATTCCGGAAACGTATCATTTCACCCGACAAAGAGCTTTATTCGTCCCATAACTGAGAGCCTCTACCTAACAAGGGTCCGACCATTATACAGTCCCCGGAAAGAAATAATCTAACTGGACTCGGGATGTATGAGGCAGGTGGTTGGTTGGTGGACTGGATGAGTGGATGAGTGGGTGGAATGGATGAGTGGGTGGAATGGATGAGTGGGTGGAATGGATGAGTGGGTGAGAAGGTGAAGTGGATGAGTGGCTTTGAAGTTGTTCTGACTGTAAGATTAAGATCCAACACACCCACACACACACACACACACACACACACTCACACTCACACACACACACACACACACACACACTAATTAAATAGATATCCTCACCCCCCAAAAAATATGTAGGACATTTATTAAATAATTAAAGAAACAGATCTAATTGATGAGTGGAAATGAGAGCAAAAATGAGAGAAGGGAGGGGGAGAGGGAAGGAGAAAACGAGAAAGGGAGGAAGGTGGAGAGTGATAAATACATTTACCTGTGTGTAAATTATATTAGTTACAGGTGACCAAGTGAGAGGCATAGAGTGGTGAAGGTGGGCTGTGACATAACTTCTGGGCTGCTGCTTCTGTTCGGGTATCACCTCCGCGAGTCTGGCGTAGAAGCATCTTGCACTTGGTCCCATCCCACCAGAGGTTGTGAACACTAGAGGAGTGAAGCTGCCTTGATCAACGTTCTGAATTCTCTCCCCGTATGCCCTACTACTACTACTACTACTACCACCACCACTACTACTACTACTACTACCACCACCACTACTACTACTACTACTACTACCACCACCACTACTACTACTACTACTACTACCACCACTACTACAAATACGATAACTACAACAATAACTTTACTATTACTACTACAACAATTTCTTGCTACTATTTGTTCCGTTGGTGTGACTAAAATTACAACTACTACTACCACCAAAACAACCACAACTACTACCACAACCACCACAGCAACCCTCGTAGTCACACTGAATTAACCATATGACACTAATTATTCCTGGCCTCTCATTGCTACACAACCCGTAACAATTTCACTACCTTCCCGCTCCAACCACTAACTACCACGACTACCACTAACTACCACGACTACCAACACTCCCACTGTCGTTCTGGCTCATGAATGACGTCAGGCAACCCGTAACTCAACATTTTAATCAACCAGGAAGTACAAATAACCCGTAATTAACAGACTTCTTATTTACGGGTTGTGTTCCGGGAATCTGCACCTCATTCGGTGAAGTGGGATGAGGTTTAGTTGTTGTTATTTTATTATTTTTTATTATTATTGTTGTTATTTTATTAGTTAGTAATATTGTTGTTGTAATATTGCAATTGTTGTTGTTATTGTTGTTGTAGTTATTTTATTATTTATTATTATTATTATTGTTGTTGTTATTGTTGTCGTTACAGAATTAGTTAACGTTTATGACAAGAAATTACAGGATGTCTTCTGATTGGTTAAAATTTCACGACAAGAAATGACAAGGGATCCTCTGATTGGTTAAAATTTCACGGCAATTTATTATAAAATGTCCTCTGATTGGTTAAACGGTATTATCAAGAGAAAACAACCCCTCTGATTGGCTACATTTAACTGACGAGATAGCACGATAACACAATTTAAAATCTTTATCTTTTGTTAACGTGTTTGTCAATTCTCAGAGGTTTTTACGTTTTTATTTTCTTATATATGACGTATAAGAGATCATGGTTAGTTAAGGTAGAGTCTTAATTATATTTCTTCGTCATCTATGTCAACCTCTCATGTGTGTACAGTATGTGTCGAAACTTAAGTGAAATAGATAAGGTTTAATGGCTCCGATTTGAGTTTTTTTTTTACAAGTAACAGCCACTAGTTCTTATGTAAACCCATGAAACGTTTGCTTACCATCATTAAGTTAACTCAACAACGTTTTACCAGAAGAATAAGGTATACCATCAAACGTTAACTTATACAGAGTCAACACACCAACACGGAACCCATAACACAACCCGACCGTGAAAACTGGGAGAACCGGCCTTCGACACCCTCTTAGTTCCTCACCCACCACACAATCACCACCCACCACACCTTCACCTCCACCAACCTACCACAACACCTCGAATACTACACAGTGATACTTCTGTACTTACCCTCTAGTTAGACAATACAGCGATAGAGTGGTACAGTTTTATATTACAAAAAGGAAAAATATAATACAATAATCATTAAGTATACAAGGTAGTAGATAAGTATACTTGGATAGTCTGACGAATTGGATTATCAGAAGTTTCTTTACTTATAATTTCAGCGTAAAGTAAGGACGTATTTAACTGACTCACTTAAGAGTAGAAATAATACTGAGATTTTCGCTATTTTATATGCCCTCTCCACCCCCACCCCCCCTCTCTCTCTCTCTCTCTCTTTCTCTCTCTGATAGATGAACAAAAAATAACATATGGATTTACGTGCGAGTCTGGCGTGTTCATGGCGATATGTCATAGCCTACGGGGCGTGAAATGATCCTCCGGCAGAGGGGGAATCACTCACGCCCGTCCTCTCATCACCCGCCCGCCATCTGTGTCAAGAATGATGAGTATAACCGAACATTATCATGAACCGGTATTAGCATGAGCAACCTAACCTAACCCTATGGATGATAGTTTATTAATCATCTCTTCTTCTTCTTCATGTCTCCCTCCCGTGTGATCACCGTCATAACACGGTAGTAGAGACTATACCAGCTGATTAAATAACACAGACTGAACTTAATACAGACACGTCTTAAAGTCAACACTTACATCGTTCACTTAATCATCGACTGTGGTTACTGAGGACGTTTATCTTCGTGTTAGGTTAGGTAAGGGTTAGGTTAGGTTAGATAAGGCTAGGGTAGGTTAGGGTGGGTTGGGTTAGATAAGGTTGGCGTAGGTTGCATAAGGTTTAGACAGGTTAGATTAGGTTAGGTTATATTAGATTAGGTTAAGTTAGGTTCGATTAGGTTAGATAATGTTAGGTTAGGTTAGTTTTTGTAAGGCTGTAAAGCATTTGTTGACTTATTCCCCACGATGTCATTCCTTCAATCAAACTTAAATAATAACATCATTACATAACCACGGTCGTAGTTACATCCCTGCACGTCGGTTCATCTACGGCTCTCTTGGCTGATGTTGATAAAATAACACGTCCTTATTCCCTAAGTCTTCAGCACGTGTGTTTGTATTGGAATGGTTTCTGTCCAGTATACTTTAGGGTCTGATGGTGTATGCATTTAGTTCTCAAATTTGGAGAGAATATTGTAATTATTCACACACACACACACACACACACACACTTACATATTTCCAGTGTCATTATAGACTATCAACATAAAACAATCTCTCTCTCTCTCTCTCTCTCTCTCTCTCTCTCTCTCTCTCTCTCTCGTCTGCTCCACAAGATTTGACTAAGTTAAGATGAGTTTCAGTCTCTTACCTTGGAAAGAACGTCCCACCATAGGGAAAAGCCGGGCGTACGCTCGTCTGGTTTATAGCTTCTCCACACTTGCGTCTTAATAGGTTGGTAAGGAATGAACGTCAGGCGCTGTTTATTGCCCCTGTTGGCGCTGGGGTTTATAGCACAGGAGAGGGAGTTGATAATACCAAAGGGGTTGTAACCACGAGACTAATGTGACCAATAGACAGTGTTATTGTGACGTCACGAGAACGTCTTGAGTATCCTGTGACGTCATGAAAATGATTTGAGTACCATGTGACGTTATGAAAACAACTTGGGTACATCGGTGACGTCACTTAAGCAACTTTGGTATCACTTCTACGACATATTTGGGTTAATATAAGAAATTAGTCATAATAATTCTCCTTCCCACTCTACGTCAATATACATACAGATCACGTGATGATTAGACACCCCAGCTTACTTTACCTGATGAGTTAACACCTAACCTAACAGAAGCCACTGGTAGCGTTAAGGTGTTTTATCTTCCGGCGAAATAAACAAGGGGTGGTTAATCTTCAGGTGAGTTATAATTACTACTATTGATACATTCATAATATAAATAATAACCGTAACGATAACTTTTATAACAGTCAATGATTGTGATGTCATGCTTGAGTTACGATGCTTTCCAAATCACTGCTTCATTACGACATGCTAACAGTATTATATAACTCTTTTACACAATTGTTCAACTTCCGTAATGAAAGTGGTGACTGACACCGGCAATTATATTCTGTTACCTTAAATGTCACGGGGATATTTTCCTTATTACAAAACAATACACGAAATAATAAAAAAACATGCACTTCCATATTGTTTTTAATGATGTAAATTAAGTAAACAAAAGCAATAATTTTTATCAAGTTTACAGATAATAAACAACACGATATAAATCATCTTACCTCTACGATACAGGATAGGGATCATATACTCTTATTTAAGGTGAAGGGTAGTGCAGATGACTGGCAGTACAGTCAGGTCCAGGTGTAGAGAGAAGAGTGTACACTACCTACATCACCTATGGCTGCTAGAGCCACACTGAAGCCGCGAGCGGAGAGTGAGTGAATGTCGACCGTGTGATGACGCGACCCCACTAGAACCCCCTGGGAAAGAAATTATGACCGACAGCATGCAAGAGCTTTCACTGTTCATCCTGGAAGAAAAAGTACGTTTCAGGGGGAAGTGTTCAATAGAGGGACTTGCTGTGTTGTAAATCACATCACTAGAAGGGCTTGTTTGTCGTACACTCACAGCACTAAAGGGACTTGCTGTGTCATAAACTACAGCACTAGAGGGACTTGCTGTGTTGTAAACTCACAGCATTAGAGAGACTTGCTTTGTTGTAAACTCACAGCATTAGAAGGACTTATGTGTCGTAAACTCACAGCACTAGAAGGACTTGCTGTGTCGTAACTTCACACCACTAGAGGAACGTGCTGTGTTGTAAACTCACAGCATTAGAGAGACTTGCTGTGTTGTAAACTCACAGCATTAGAGAGACTTGCTGTGTTGTAAACTCACAGCATTAGAGAGACTTGCTGAGTTGTAAACTCACAGCATTAGAGAGACTTGCTGTGTTGTAAACTCACAGCATTAGAGGGACTTGCTGTGTCGTTAACTCACAGCACTAGAGGGACTTGCTATGTTGTAAACTCACAGCACTAGAAGGACTTGCTGTGTCGTAACTTCACACCACTAGAGGAACTTGCTGTGTTGTAAACTCACAGCACTAGAGGGACTTGCTGTGTCGTAAACTCACAGCATTAGAGGGACTTGCTCTGTCGTAACTTCACACCACTAGAGGAACTTGCTGTGTTGTAAACTCACAGCACTAAAGGGACTTGCTCTGTCGTAACTTCACACCACTAGAGGGACTTGCTGTGTCGTAAATTCACACTACGTTTGTTATTAGGGTTTCCTGTATTGGGGGTTTCTTAGCATCCCGGGAAGGAAACCCTAGACTTGTTATACCCACGGGCAGCGTTCACCTGCTGTGTACCCAACTGTACATATCTTAAGCTTTTATCGTGTGTGTGTGTGTGTGTGTGTGGCTGCTCCAACTTTCTCTGAAGATCCCGCTGATATATGACAATCATATTGACAGCCTCCATGACAGAGATATACACAAACAAAACAACAACACAAATATTAAACGTAAACTAACTTCGTTTTTCCTCCATTTTGGGTCGAGGTAAAATATTGTCCATAAAATCAGTGGTAATTCGTCGACCTTCTGTGTGTGTGTGTGTGTGTGTGTGTCCCCTTTTTATAGTAAAATATGCCTATCAATCTTAAGACACATAGTTATTCGAACTACTGTATGCATGTCGGTAATTTCACAGCTAACAGTCCATTAAAGCAAATTAGATGACTCAATATGGCTGTGAATCATGACATAGACAGATCACACGCTACGGGTAACAGACAATCATGCATAACTTTTTCCTCTCTGTTGTGTTTGAAATAGACGGGAAGTGTTCAGCGTCACGTCCGGGTGAGAGTGAGGTTTTGCCTGTCTCGTGCTTTGTGGAGGTAGCTGGTCGAGGCTCCCGGGTACAAGCTATGACTCAGTTAATAGCTTAATTGCGCGTCGTTATGAGAGATTGGTGGCATGCCTGACCCTGTTTTGTTACATGAATTACGGATGTAGATAAACTATGAACATGAATGAGACAGACAGATAGATGTAAACTATTATTTATTTGTTGATGCCGAATTTTAAGATTTTCGTTATGAATGGGGTTAGGATTTATCCAACATAACAAGTATAAAAATATCGGGGGGATTTTTGTGTGCTGCGGAATTACTCAGGTAGACAATATTCTACATTATCCATAAGAGTAAGAAAAATTAAAAAGGATGCATCGGCCGGGAATCGAACCCGGGCCTCCCGCGTGGCAGGCGAGAATTCTACCACTGAACCACCGATGCTACGTTATGGTTCGTATTTCCTTTACTATTTATATCACTCTATTTTAGTTATGTTGTATTTATTTTTAAAACTTCTATTGAAATATTTAATAATTTTAAAAGTTTAGGTGGTTTATAGAGTTTTATCTATAATTTATCATTCTACCTTATGTTCATAACGCAAGAACAAACTACGATATACAGTGTAATTACTTTACGGTGTTCAGAGCATACCATTTGTACTCCACATTAACGTAGTCACTATTAGTTGTGGAGTGTTGATGAAACTACTGTAAGAGGAGAGCATTTTATATAAGTGTTGCTCTGTTGAGAAATAAAAGTTACACCAGTCTCATACAAGCAGTTAGGTGTATAGTGTTGGTCATATGTAAAGTCAGATTCTTGTCTATTTTGTTGGTTTAGTGTTATTTGATTAGTCACCCCAATCTTACTAACCTTGTTACGCAGTTAAAGATCTTAGTTGTTGAAGGGCAGTAATAATATTATAACAACAAACAACGGTCCAACAAGATATCCTTGGTGAAAATAAATTATTGTTTACCATTGTTTTTTTATGTCCACACTGTTAAGTAGAACAGTACATGCTGAGACAGTGTTAAATTGTATGGTTACTGAATATCCACTTATTTATTTGTTTCTTCTTATACCAAAAACATCAATTACAAAAGTTATTTTTCATACTGTACTTCGATACTCACAAGCCGGCCACATGTTCTCCTGTGAGGTGAGGTAGAGTCAGCTGGGCGCGTCACCAGTATCTGTATCAGTGGCTGAGTCGCGTCTGCACTCTCTAAGATGCGTGCATAAACTATATAAAATTAATAATAAATTTCAGTTATAGCACTTATATTTCTGAATAATATGCCTGAAAGCTAAATTATAATTTTACAAAACTTACCTCCCCGGCGGGGAATCGAACCCCGGTCTCCCGCGTGACAGGCGGGGATACTCACCACTATACTACCGAGGAATCGGTACTTTGGCGGATTTCTTATGTCATCTTGTGTTTAATTTTAAATTAGAGTTGCCAACATATATATTGTATATAAAGTGTGGATGCCTTTACTCTGTGTTGTGTAACTGTTTATGACGAAATTTACAGTATGAGGGTCAGTGTATACCTACAAGCGTAATAAACAAATCCACATTAATTCATAATAAATAGTGCATGAAGGCGACATTATTGTGCGGATCAAAAGTGATCTTTATATCATGCCGATTCCTCGGTAGTATTGTGGTGAGTATCCCCGCCTGTCACGCAGGAGACCGGGGTTCGATTCCCCGCCGGGGAGGTTAGTTTTGTGAGGTACACCAAGGTGTAAAGACATCTTTATACCGTGCAGTACAGTTGTCTGCATTACCAAGTAGTACGTCATTGGCTCCTATCTATTGTCTGGTGGACGGTGGTGCCACATCTCACAAAACATGCCAGCAACTGTATACCAATTCAATACATATATTTTGATAAATTATCATTCTTGAAGGTAATGATGAAGGCGATCATTAAGTGTTGTACACTTTGTTGTTGTTATCGTACAAATAATGGTAAAGTATTTGTCAATATTCATCATCATTAACTTGATTGTTTTGCTCTCAGCTCATTATTCTGTTAATCTTGTCAATTTATCGTCCATGCACAATGACTTATATGACGAAAATAATGTCTCTCTCTCTCTCTTTCTCTCTCTCTCTCTCTCTCTCTCTCTCTCTCTCTCTCTCTCTCTCTCTCTCCGTATGTCTATCTATTATCTATTTATCGATCAGAGATGGTGTTGTCTAAGCTCTCTCACAGAATACCAAAAGTTGATATTATAATGCCTAAACAATTAACGTGCTATTAAACACGTAGGTCACCTAGTCTCTGTCTTTCATGACATAACTGATAAAAACTCTTGCTTGTGAGGGTCATCATCGTTCAGGTGTGGCTTGATGCATCCGGTGACCAGATAGTTAGGTTGGGTTAGGTTAGGTTGGATAAAGTTAGATTAGTTTAACTGTATTAGTCAAGAGAAAGAGATAAAGTATCCTTCATCTCATATAAATACATTTGTCATGTTATATATCCAGAGAACATTATGACTAGATTATAGAGTTGCAAATAATATATATATACAGGTACATGATTTTCAGATGACTTCACCTTACCCTTACCGTACCTGAGGTGATAATGTGAGCACTGGAACCAAACAAGAGGGCAGGGGGCGGAGGGGCGGGACTTTGAGTAAACAAAAGTCCTTATGGATCGGATGATTAAACCCTCGTAATGGATTTTATTGAGCTGAGGATCAACAGTGTGGTGAATATTAGATCCTTGAGGTGATTGCGGCAGTCCTTACAGTCACTTGAAATTGATCGACAGTAGACTATCATTATTATTCTCTCTCTCTCTCTCTCTCTCTCTCTCTCTCTCTCTTTCTCTCTCTCTTCGTGCTTGGATCAGCCAGCTCAGTGTAATGTGATAGCGTGCATTATTATCATTTGGCGGGAATGAAAATGAAGACTGGCAAGTCGATATAATCTACTTTAAGCATCAGAGATTCAGTAAATGGCCTCGTTTGGTATGTTACGAGTGACGCATGTATGTGTGCGCGTGCACGCGTGCGCCAGCCATCACCCAGTAATACCTCAGCTTCTACACCAGTAGGAAGGACCATAACATGTTGAAGAAGCGTCTTCTAACACTTGAAGTTAGTCATGGTCTTCTTCCTATTAACAGGTATACTGCTCCTAACACATCCTGCCTTGACGCTCCTCAACACGAAGCCGACCTTTTCGCTCCGTCTTGAGACGCTTCAGGAAGTGCTGGGTGGTCCCCTGGCAGGACGGGGTGTCGTCTTGTACCTGGACCTTGACCTAGACTTCTGGGTCCTGCAGCAGCTGCTGGCCCTCCCAGCCCTCCAGGACTCTCCCTGTGTCCTGGTTGACCTGGGCTCCGACGGGGATCTATGGTCCAATGACCAGCCCGCCTCAGTGCTTCAAGGGGACCATGCCATCCATATTGTTGTATTTAAGGAGGATCCCCGACCATTTTTTGAGGTCGTCTCTCTCCAGTGGAACCCTAAATATCTTATTCTCTTCAGTATGGCTGTTGAATCAGTCCAGACCCTGTTGATGGATAATGTTTTTAAGGGAATAGAGAGACTAGTCCTCTTGGAAAACTTGACGCCTACATCCCAGAATATAAGCCCAAAGACAGGACTATACACGTCTTTACCCTTCTTTAAGTTGCAGCCAGTGATTCTGCTAGGAGCTTGGAATCCAACGACCTTCCCTAACTCTGAGGATATATTCGTAGATCGGTACCAGTCATTTGAAGGTTATGAATTCCAGCTGGGAACATGGTTAGACGATACTCCGTATCTGTATCAGTCGGCAACAGAGGCTGAGGGAGTCGGGGATGGAGTTGTGGCAGAGATGTTGGGCGCCTTGGCTGGTGTACTCGACTACAGGTATAATTTCACAACAATACCTCCTGATGAACAGTGGGGGTCATATGAGAACGGCTCCTGGAACGGCATGCTGGGAATGGTTCACCGAGGGGAGAAAAACTTTACTGTGAACTATTTCGTCAAAACAGAAGAACGGCTGGCGGCCTTCGACGCCAGCATGTCGTATTGGGCAGAAGGATTCGGAGTGGCCTTGATGACCCCAGCTCCCCTGCCCAAATGGCGCGCCACGTACTACCCCTTCTTGCCCTCCCTCTGGCTCTCTGTCGGGGCTACCTTTCTCATTGTTGTCTTCATCATGACTCTGCAGGTAAATTAAATTTTGACTTTAATTCGAAAGACTTTTACAAAGGTGTACTGTGTATTGTACTGAGTGAAAGATGAGTCATAAACTGTCTACTTCAGTTAGCGGAATTTGTCACAAAGGACCTATTAAACTGGATACTCCCCAACCCTGCCTTCTACAGTCTGTGATGTTGCGTTGGGTTGGGTTGGGTTGGGTTGGGTTGGTAAATATTGAAAATGAAAACCCAAAATAAGTGAATTCAAATATTTCTGGTACTATGTAAGCATCTTATTAGCTCAACATTTGTCAGGTAAATCCATTACAGGTAAAACCCAGGAACATGATTAAGAATAAGCACTTAACAAACACACAATTATAGGGTCATGTTTTTACTCGGGAAGCCTAAATTATTATTATATTTTAGGTCGAGCTATAAACAGGAACCTAAATATAACCAGGGAGACTATTTATGTTCCTCTCAATGAAATGATCTGAATTTAATCCTATTGATTTTTAGCTTCTTCTTTATTGCACGTCCTAAAATTTAATAATTATTTACGGTTCTCGAATACAAAATGACTCTGTAAGTTAGATACAGACGTAAATACATGCACGTACAGTACAGACACACATACTGTACACATATTTGTCGCTCCTGTCAAAATTTCCAAGTATGGTCACTTTCTTTACGTCTGCTGAGTTTTGTCTTCATTCATGATGTTTTCTCAGGACTGGTTACAGCCGGAGCCGTTTCTGGGCGGACTGGGACGAACATGGCCCTACCTGCTTAGAGGGGTAGTGAACCACAGCCTGCCGGTCCTGCCGACGGCTCAGTGGCAGCGTGTGTTGGTGGGCACCTGGTTGATCTACTGCTTCATCCTCACCACCGCCTACACCGCCAACCTCATCGCCTTCCTCACCATCCCTGTGTTTCCTGAGCGTATCCAGACATTAGAAGAGCTGGCTCAGAGTGACTACAGGTACTTGCCTAGTGACTAAACTACCTAACACTTGACCTAGAATAACAAGGAGACTAAGCGTTGACTAATACTCAGGAACGAGAAACGGTAATGAACAGTGTATGAGAGACAACCAAGACATGACAACCTCGCTTTCTGCCGCCAGGTTGGTCATGTGTGACTACGGGGAGTTCGTACCCGGGGCGCTTATGACGTCGGAAAACAAGGTGTACAAGGCCCTGGGAGACAAGCTGGACCTCTTCATAAAATATGATGAAGTCATCACGTACTTGCTGAGCGGCACCCACGCCTTCATAGAAAGTTATTCCTACGGGAAAATTATTCTCTACGCATATTATAAGGTGACGTGACTATGGACAGGTAGAGAATACTGTAAGACTGGCTGACTGATAACGAAGGTTTTGAGTGTTACAGATGAAGGAAGGAAGAGATAGACCAGGACCTCAGGTTTAGTAGTATAAATGTGTACTTTATGACACTTGAGTGAATTTAATCCCCATATTCCCCGAAGAATCATCTACTCCAAACAACTAAGTCTTAAGCTTTTTAAATCATTCATATTATCAAACTATGTAGTTATTCAAAGATGTAATTGGTACTGAAACTTCACTTGTATCCCCAGGTTACAAACTCATACATGTTGAAGGATCAGCTGTACCCTGGTCACCTGTGCTGGTACTTCCAAAAAAATACCGCCTGGAAGTACAAGTTCGACCAGGGCATCAAGCGCCTGGTGGAGGCTGGACTCGTCTCTTATTGGTTCAAGGTAATGACCAATGATAGCTCGCTCTCTCTCTCTCTCTCTCTCTCTGCCAGCACCTCTAAAGGGCCAAACCTTAAGTTCGCTGTCAAGGTAATTACCAATAACTGTCCTCCTCTCCTAACACCTGGTGGATGCCGGAGTTATCACACATCAACTCCGAGTAACAACCAGGGACAATCCTCCTCCCTCAAGGTAAAGGTGACTTGACCAGAAAATAAGGTACACTCTCAACCCTCGTGACGTAACACACTGTTAGTTGGAGTTATCACTTAAAAGTGTTCCCTCTGACAGATGAAATCGGAGGACGTCCTGGGTCAAGACTACGTGCGTCTACAGCAGCAGGCGGGGGAGGAGCAGCACAACGAGCGGCCACTGAGTGTCGAACACCTACAAGGAGTCTTCCTCATCCTCCTCTTCAGCCAGGCCGCCAGTGTTGCTGTCTTCTTCCTTGAGTTACTACTTGACAAGTGCCACGGTGGTCGCCCTTAAGTCACACTACTGGGAGAGTGTTATGGTACGCAGCAGCGCCTTGATGATAGCCGAAGACACCAAAAAATGTTGGAACAATGTAAAGGAACATAATACAGGGTGTCTCACAAAAGTTATATTCACACTGCCTTACAGAGTTTCATCGAGGTAATGTTAATGTTTGTATTGCAACATCAACATTGTCCTCACTTGATGATGTGGGAGGTCCTACACGGGTGAGGGAAATGGTGTTTTAATTCAAGCATTCACGGGATTTCCATGAGAATTTTTATGACAGTAAATATTATTTTGGAGAAACCCTGTATGAGTTTCTGGCATGCCATATGACGTTCCATTCATTATTCTCCATCATTTCATCCCACCATTGTGTCTTGGAGAGAACTGTGGTCATGCTGGTTCCCATTCTTTGACCCGGCTTATGTGATGCTTTATAAAAATAATGTACATTACTGGGATATTATACAGAAGTTATCATATAAAAGATTCATTAAATGGCGCCTTTATTATATCTAGACTTAATTATCTTAGCGGTGTTTGTGTTAGTCAATTAACTGCGCTGGTGAAGTGAGGTTTATACTCGACTCTTAATAGGGACGGAACACTAAGTTAAGCAATCATATACAGTACTGTAATGTAATTCTCCCAACAAATAAAGTTATGAGTTACAATTCTCATGAGCGTGTGTGCATTTTCGAAAAATGTATAACCTGATGATTAGGTACCCAGCTTATTTCACGTGATTAGACATTCTAACCAAACCTAACCTAACCTAACCTAGTCCCTTCAGGTAGTGTTTGAGTGTTTAAGCAAGCGAAATAAACAAGGTGGATATTCTTATTTTATTATTTATTTACCTAATGGCCACCCAAGCTATTGATGGCCAGTTCTGTAATATAAGTTTAACAAATAATACCACAAATAATTTATTGAATGACATTAAGTATGCAATATATTACCTTAGTGATGAATAAATATTGATGTATTTGTGTATCACGGTGATGGTGGGGGGGGGGGATAGGTGTAAACTTGAGATGAGTCGCCACTTCATAAATATCGCGTACGGAAAAAAAACCATTAGAAAGTGAAAGAATTGACAAAAATAAATTGTGAATACATAGTTTGTTTATATTATGTTCTCACTGTAAAAAAAATCAATTCGTGGCAAAATGTAGGAACAGAGTGTGGAGTATCCCCAGATAGTTAAAAATGCACTAAAATTGTTACAGACTTGTGTTTATTGTGTGTACACAACGAGTTATTTACAGGGCTGTCGTCTGGGTAATATAAGGTTGAGTCTACTTAAGTATCGACTAGTGGTACTGGCAGGCAGAGAACAGTATATAGTAACTTACTTTGCGGTCCATTACTTGTGTTTACGGCTTATTTGAGTCACAAGTTATTTAACATTGACATGCACAAAATATAATTATTTCTTATACGTAACACCCCACGAACAGTGAGTGTATGACGTCACGGTCCTCCCTGTAGTTCTTGTCGGGTATAAAAGGAATCACCTGAAGATTAGCCCCAATGAGAATTAATTTAATCTAACCTAAATTAACCTAACCTAAACTAACGATAAGGTAAACCTAACCCAACCTATCTTCGCAAGTTTAGGGAGATTTTCGTGTATATGTTGATGTATTATCTTAGTAAAAAAATTCTAGAATGTGTTGCATCATTTTTGTTATGATTTATTTCCTATTGTATGCCTCGATCAGAGTAAATTGTACCAGAACTTTCCAGACCTGTCTGTGTTGTGCTACGGTGCTCATGGCGTCTGATGAGACATACACAGTATAAGCGGCAGCTCTTACAAGTCTAATAGGACAACTGAAGATAATTGTTGTGCAAGTATTGTGGAACTGTTGTGAGCAATATAAAGTGAAAAGACTAAGGAATTGTACACTGGCAGTGTGCTGACTAGCTATATATTCGAAGTGAGAAGTCCAGCTGTAAAGCCATTACCTTGTGAACAGTGTTGTGAAGAATTAATTAGTGCTTATTAAAGAAGACAGCAGTTCACACGTGTGTTTCTGTGACCTAGTGGACATCTAACTGCCTGTTGGTTGTCTGTACACTGATACCGATCGTCGGGAAATTACCGGAGACTGGCGGGACAGCCAGCAGTAATTTGACTACTCTTGTGAGATATCTACCGCTCTGTACATAAGACCTGGCCGCTGGTAACCAGTGGTGGAAGCTGGGTAAGCGGTGAGAGGAGGGTCGTAACAATAACATCGCCCGAATATTAGCCATCTCATCTTATTACACCTGATGATTAAACACCTAACGCTAGACTAACCTCACCTAACCTAAATTATCCTGCCATCATTTTAAGATTAACCGCCTTAACGCTAACGCCAACGTGAATTAAATTTTGCAGGGGACAGCAGCTACAGTAGAGTATTGTGCATTCCATACTCCAGTGAGCAGTAGTGCAAAAAATTACTACAGAATAGCGGCGACAGAGGGTGTTAATCAGACCCCGGTGATCAAGATATGGTAATAAGTGTTATAGTATTTATAGTGTATCGTTTGTTTAGTTCGGTACATATAAGTTTGCTTAGATAATAAATGCGAAGTGTGGATACAGCTTTAGTATATCAGCTGTCTTCCCATTAGAGGTAAAGTGTGGTTGGATCTGTCCCTAAAAGTTTCCTTTTTTTTTTAAGTCTAACGCAGTGTTGGAGTGTGTGGCCACATGACTGGCCGCACCCTTTACATTTAGATTTGTTCACATCTGCCAGAGGTAGTAATATCCTTATCTGAGTCCAGTGGTTGCAACTAAACCTGCATTAGTGTTTATTGAACACCCTTAGGGGCTAGGTTAGGTTAGGTTAGCGGTGGGGTGTTTAATCATCAGGTGAGATAAAATGCATACAGTTGTAAACGCCTTAGTTAAGGACGTTCAGGTTACGGGCAAGTCGAAGGGAATGATTGAAACCCGTCTTTTGACGCATTCAATATATATTGATGTGATCAAAACCTGCAGAGGAGAAGGCGTTCATAATATTACAAGGTGATCCATCTGATACATAATTAGTTAGTCTCACACAATTTTATCTTAATTACAATTTATTAAACATACTGACATAACACAAAGTTCATAACTCTATTAATCTTAGCTTCGCTTCATTCTTCATTGTCTTATTACTCCAGATTAGGCAGAAACGAGTAGGCGTAATTAGTCAACAATATTTCAGTACCGAGGGGTATGTCATCACTTAGGCTGTACTTACAAGTGCGGGTCAATGCAGATCAGCATGATGTTCCAAGAGACAACAGTATTGCGTAAATCGTCCCAGCACAAATTCTCGGACAGGAGAAGGCTGGTCTTCACAGCATCACTAGAGAGGGCGATCTGTCTCATGGAGGGGCGGGCAGCCACCGCCACCAGTCTAAGACAGTCCACTCAGCAGAACCAGGACTTGTCTGTAAACACTTCTACATCTGGTGAGGTCACAGGTCGAAAGATTTAATGGCATCACACGCCAGCACTGTAGCTGAAGCCAGCGGCGATAACACAGTGCTAACAAAGAAAAGGTAAACAATAAGTTGATACACTTGGCAGCGCCACAAGTGTCAGGGAGCGAATAAGGAAAAATATTGTCGAGCATAAAACTGATTAAATAGTAAAAATAGTTTGTATGGATTCAACCCGCATTTTCCTTGTGTTCAAGGTCAACAAAACTAACCTCCCCGGCGGGGAATCGAACCCCGGTCTCCCGCGTGACAGGCGGGGATACTCACCACTATACTACCGAGGAATCGGTAAAATATAACTTTCGACCTGCTCAATAATGTCGTCTTCATGTACTATTTATTATGAATTAATGTGGATTTGTTTATTACGCTTGTAGGTATACACTGACCCTCATACTGTAAATTTCATCATAAACAGTTACACAACACAGAGTAAAGGCATCCACACTTTATATACAATATAAATGTTGTCAACTTGAATTTAATATTAATTACAAGATCACATACGAAATCATTAAAGGTACCGATTCCTCGGTAGTATAGTGGTGAGTATCCCCGCCTGTCACGCGGGAGACCGGGGTTCGATTCCCCGCCGGGGAGGTCAGTTTTATTAACCTTAAACACAATAGAGAAATGTTAGGTGGACACCCCGAACACCTAGTTATCGTTAAACAGCATTATATGAAATTTCAGTCAATCTACTAAGGAGTTGCCTCGAAGCGAGACAGGAAAAAGAAAACTCATTTGTTTTAATGGACACTTTTAATAAAATCATATCGATTTGCACATCTCCTACAGACAAACTCGAAACTTTAACACTTTCAAGTTTCACGCAATAACATAAGCGATGGACTGATTGATGACTGATGGAGTTGGGGAGAAAAGATGACTGGGTGGGATTGGGAAGACAATATAGCTAGGCAGTTTCTTTCTTTCTATCTTTTTTATCACGTTCGTTGTTTTGTCTTATCTTCAAAGGCAGCAGCTATTTGTACAGCATCATTCCAACTGAGACATCTGATATTATGTTTGATAGATCATGCTCTTAAATGAATGGCACACTACGAACACATTATCTTAAAGGGGATTTTTTTTTCGAAGTGGTACAGCGAATCTCGACATCGTACAAGAACTAATACAAGTATGTCAGCAACTTGATAGTCAGTCAGATATAATAACTGAAACAGTTCAAGAAGTCATCAGTGTTGCCCAGAATATGATGTGTTAAATATGAAAACCTGAACAAACTCGGGGCAAACCTGTATGTTAGAGAGAAGGACGTTTGGAGCCTACCACCCACTGAAGGCACATCTGTAAAGCGAGCTACACTATCTTACAATCATGTATTTGGGTCAAAGCTGATCGACCACAATCTGTGTTTCCAGACCCATTCAAGTTTGGTTGGGTGTCAGGTGATAAAGTCAAACCACTGTTGACCACAGTTTCACAAATACCAGAAATCCTTGATGCATCTATGTTCTGTAGTTGCCAGGGTCGTTGTGGTTGTAAATGTCCGTGCCGTCAACATGGGTCGTGTGAACTCATATGTACAGTACATGTGGTGGCAAACCTGAGTCATGTTTAAATGTGTAACTTTCGTAATTTTATGGACATGGATAATATTGGTTTGTGAGTCATTAAGCTGGAAAGAGTATTTCTTGTTAATTGTAGATTATAATGCATAACTGGCAACTGACAGGTAAGCCCGTTCAATAAAAAAACTGCATTTTTCATATCAGTTATTGTTGAGTTTTAGATGTTTGGAGTTGTGCCCTTCCCCCCTTACTCTGTAACGTGTGATCAACCACTAAACATCGAAATAAATCTTAAGGTTCCCTCAGTCAAATTTTGGTTATGTAAGTAACTCGCTGTTCACACACACTAAATACAGAACTGTAACAATTTAAGTGCATTTTTAACTACTGTACAATATGCCGCGTATTGCGTATTTTTTTTTAGTTTAGTATTTGAGCTATTGACGTCCATAATAACAATTTGTTTGTGGCAGTCAGATTCAACGACCGTGACAAATTACCAGTGAAGGAGGTCAAGCGATAAGTGGTGGCGTGTCACTAACCTGGTTCCCTGTCATCGTATACATAGACAATAGGTATGTATCGGCAGAACGGAAAAATACCGTGTGAGCGTTCATATAATTTTATTTCTATAAGAATGTAGTGAAATTTAGAATATTTATTTATTTCTATATAAAAAATGCGTAAATAATTGTCTTCGATGATAAATTCATAATATAAATATTCATATATCCAAAAGGAAAGTAAATAGCTTGTATTACCAGCCAAAGAGGGTGTTGTGCTGCAGAAAATTTCGCTCTTTTTAAAACGTTCCATTTAAAAATTAGCTCCATCATTATGATGCAGAAAAAATTATAACTAGTTAATGGCGAGACAATATTGATCAGATCTCAGTCACCTTTATTTAAAATACCGTTTCCTCGGTAGTATAGTGGAGAGTATCCCGCCTGTCACCGGGGTTCGATTCCCCGCTGGGGAGGTTAGTTTTGTTGACTTTGCAGAGTACAGGCTTTCAGACTGGTACAGAAACAACAATGATCTAAGTTACACCATTGTCAAACACAGTTTAATGATGTGTGACACTAGGCTCTCCTCTCTCACAATGTCTGCAAGGTCAACCAAAACTAACCTCCCCGGCGGGGAATCGAACCCCGGTCTCCCGCGTGACAGGCGGGGATACTCACCACTATACTACCGAGGAAACAATACTGTTGGGGAAGGTGTCTGGAAAGTGATCAAAAATGCACCGTCATTAACTAGTTCAGACCTTGCGTCATTATCATGTACTTTTAAGTTGTTTCAAGAACCGTTTTGACCCTTGGTAGAGATGGTGACCCCATTGGTAAGCAGTCATGGTATTGCTAAATTAACGCGCCAGTGGACTCGTTTTGTGAGTGACATGACAATGTAGTTCAAGGACTGTATTGTATGATATTTTATCCTTGGTGGAATGAACAGTAAACTGAATGAAGTTTTTTTAGTTTAACAAATTTATTGACAAAGCTTGTAGTACAGTTTGCCTATTCTGAGTAATTCAATCAGGTCTTGACACTGAGGGTGGTATCGCTTCTCACTGCCACGCAGGACAGAGGTTCATACTCAAAGAAATATAACCCAAGAAAGCTGTTTTACTTTACTTTTATCCTCTTCGCCACTGATCGGTTGGGATGAATTCACTATTCACAATAAACCCACGAATCAGATAATTAAATAATTTATCTAATAATACTGACATTAAATATAATATCACTTAAATTGGAACTGCTGGGTCATTTTAACTGTACAACATTCATTGATACGAAAATATTCTTTGCCTTAACCTATATTCTTTATAGATCTTAATTTTACTTTTTATTAGTTTGAAATTAAAATTGGCTTTTATAGCCTTAGGGAAATAATTTCAGTCTTATATATGTAAAGCAGATATTTTTTTTAATTTAATTCAACTTCCCAGCTAAAAATTAACGTGCATTTTAGTTTTAAGCAACAAATTACACATATTTTTTTAGTTATATAAAAGTTTAAGATCGTAATTGAAAGCAAATAATGATGTAATTAAAAGTATATCTATAATTCTGAGGAAACTCTAATGTTGCAGGTTTGTTTACAATACACAGAAGACAGTAATAAGAAGACATGTCAGAAAGCTCGGGATGCCCTGGGAAAAGACCACAGTTTGGGGCAAGACTCCTTAAAGACAAGAATAATGTATTTCAACACAATGCCTGGTAAGTACTTTGACCCAAAACAGTGTGGTTGTATTTATTTACCTGTACAGTGCTGCCAGGTGCCGACATTTGCTCACAAGGCTTATACTCCGGGCCGACTAATTAACCCAAATGTAGCCAAATATAGCCGCAATGAAGTCAAATAATGGTCCTACATGAATAAATCGGACTGCTAATCACTTCTCGACTAGTATTTGGTGTCATAAAGTAAAAAAAAATTGGTAAACTTAATTTAATCTGAGTTGTGTTAGGTTAGGTTAGGTTAGATTAGATTAGATTAGATTAGATTAGATTAGATTAGGTTAGGTTAGGTTAGGTTAGGTTAGGTACATGCACGTGATCTATTAACTCAGATTAAATTAAGTTTACCAATTTTTTGTGACTTCGTGACACCAAATACTAGTCGAGGTTAGGTTAGGTACATGCACTCGATCTATTAACTCAGATTAAATTAAGTTTAACAATTTTTTGTGACTGTGTGACACCAAATACTAGTCGAGAAGTGATTGGCAGTCCGATTTATTCATCTAGGACCATTATTTAACTTCACTCTGGCTATATTTGGCTACATTTGGGTACATTTGGGTAATTAGCAGGACCCCTTATACTCACAAGACAAATGCTCGCAACTCAAATACTCACAATAGTAATGGAAAGGTAAGGTTAGGTTCGGTTCGGTTCGTCCTGTGAGCAAATGTCGTGGAACCTTGAATGGTGTAGTTCATTTTGTCATAATTAAGTTATCATTTAACCAACCTTATGGAGTTAAGGTACCGAATTTGGTAAATATTCGGAAAAGGAAAATTATTTGTGTTTTTTCCCATTCCTTCTTTTGATATGATAAATTGTTTTTTCTGGTGAATGTTGGTGTTTTAGTCAAATATGACCTTCATTTATTGTGTAAATGAGCCATTTTTTGTTTTATTTTATTTTTATAAAAAATCGACCAAACCATACCAAACATTCTTGAGGTAAAAAAACTAGTTTCCTTTACAGAAATTTTAGTGTAATGTTACTGGTTATTGGGGACAGTGTCTTAGTTTTACTGTGACTGTAGTGTATTCTTTTAATACTGTACATTACTTTGCTTTTTATTGTATCTACTGGATTTAGAAACGATTTTAATAGAATAGCATTTTTTTCTTTACATTCTAAATTCCTAACTTAACCTAACCTAAGATTGATATACCCAGTAACTTTAATTAGGTTAGGATAAGAAGGTTAAGTTAGGTATCAGGTGCTATAAGTGTTCAATTATTTAGTAGAAGAAAAATTTTGTGAAAATAAAAATATGAAACTTATATTTCCACGTTTGATTTACAGAGGTCAGAAAGATATTGTCTGCTCAAAAGAACTATCGTACCGGGTAGTCTAAAATAGCTACCAGTCGGTGGTTTAGGTGCATAAAAGATGTAAAATATTTTCAATTACAGGAATGTTTCATGTTACATAAATTTTTTAAATGAAGTGGATGAATTGTCTTTAGCATCATCAGTGTGTCCAGCATCATAAGAACTTGACAGAAGAACAAACCAATAGAACATACAGAATGAACGAGCTAAGCCCAACTAAACTTAAGAGTGTAGAGTACTGTACTGAGATAGTTAGGTTAGGTTTGGTTGGTTGAATAAATGGCTTCATGTTGCAATCTGACTGCCACTGCTAACATGTGTTTGATTTTATCTGGAATTTACAATGAGCATTACTGAAAAAAAAGGATAATGATTATGAAGTGGTTATTTTACTGTACCTGGAGTTCTGAGTGAGAAAGGCATTATTGTACTGTAGACTTTGTATGGCTATTTTTGCCAGAATTCCTAAGTGTTAAGGCATTATAAACAGGGAGAAGGCTGAGTATTGTTTGATGTTGAGCATAAATTTATGCTCTAGTCTTTTTTCTTTTTTTTTACATCAGTTATTAAATGACAACACAGTGACCAGCATATTAAACCCAGCTCACTTTCACACCCCATATGGAGGAGGGAGGGATGCCAGGTTCACTGATTCTAATGTGGTTATGAAATGGGATTTTAGGAGCAAGACATCAATTATGACATTTCAGTACTGTTGTCCAAATTGAGCCAGGTAGAAGAGTTTATGTGAAGGATATCAACAAGTCAAGATGCTATGCTTACCTTACACTCCTGATGTAGACCAATATACAGAGATGGCTACCGTAATAGCTGTAGTTTTTCAGCAAGTGTGTCACTACACTGAACCATTTTATAATTTATGTTTACTGTCTTGTTTTGAAAGGATTTGAATAGATTGTCCTCAGTATCTTTGTAACAAACCTTCAGTTTTGTTGCAATAGAAATAAGAAAAAAACACACCTCCCATCGCCACTCCTTTCAGAAATTCGACATCTTAGTGGCCTGGTGAACAAGCTATATAGGGTATGGAATAACAGTTCTGTAGTGTGGAAGCGTTGTTTGACTGATGACACAAGTGGACGCCGTCGACCACAGGGAGGGGGGAGGGTACTGAAGGACTGGAAGATGGTTTTTCAGCATAATAATTGGTAAGGAAATTTCCCACATAAAATATGGGTATGTTGTATTTTGTGTGAACTTAATGATATGCTTTACTGAGGGTAGCTATGTATAGATACTGTTTGGGTAATACAGTATATTTTGGATCATTCATAATTTTTATAACTTTAAGTGGCCTTCATGTACCCTGTAGGTGACTCTTATCAAGATTTCATTGGATTTTTTATTTAATTTATCGATTTTAATTACATATTATAGCCTTTCTTATTGCTTGTAATATCTTGTGGTGGTTTTAATTTTGTTAAATGATAACTAGAAAAAATATTCACCAGACAAATTTGTTATACAGCACAGTATACTGTAATTCAATTTGCCAATAGAAACTCTGGCCCAGCAGGACTTTGGTTTGTAGTCCACTTATAGGTTGTGCTCTTGTAGTTCTAAGCTTGGGAACACTTAGGCCTATTTATACAGGTGACTGCATTACACAGAAACCTCCAATCATATACTTATGGTAGTTATTCTGCAAACAAATTCGAACAAAAATAACACTGAACTGAACCATTCTTGTTACAAATGTATAGTAGAATAAGTTTTTCTGTGCAGGGATGAGTTTATTTAGTATAAAATCATTTAATTCATTGGAATTTCTCCTGGGAACACTGACCAATTGAAATGAGGATATCTGATCCCTGAGTGGCTCTGTAACTGCTTTGGAAAACAAATTGGACGTACTGCATGGCCAGAGGAATTGCAACTAAATACACAAACTTCAATTATGATTAATGAGCTTCTTAAGACCAGGGTAATTGCACTCAAGAATCTTATCAACCCAAGGCCACAGGAACCAGTGCCAGAGCTGATGGAAGCTGCTACTGCTACTTATTACGAAAACTTACTGATGAACATGTTCCTTGTATATGGTTCTTGGGAACAGAAGAGGTTTAAACTTTTTATACCTCCATTACACATGCAGGGGCATGTTGATTTGCAATTACCAATCTGTACATTCATACATTCATGTATATTGTCCACATTCTTGTAGTTTATTTGCACCAGTAGTACTGCCCCAGCCAAGGGTGGTAGCAGGATTATGTAAAATTGTACATGCTGAAGTTATTAATTGTTTTGGACAGTATTACTTTATACAGTACAGTACACCCTTGGATTACAAAAGTAGATTTTCAGGTTGTCTGATTGATATTTTGCTCCAGTGTGTTTTAACAGATGCAACTTTTGTTCTATTAATCCTCTGTTTCCATAAAATGTTGAAAAATAGATTAAAATTTTTTTCATTGCTCCAGGGATAATGTAGTTTGGGATGAAAAGCAAGAAGCTGTTGCCCAGGCAAAGGTGTTGGAAAACTCAGAAGTGACTTTAAGTGCTGAAGAAATTAAGAAGCTGGAACTGGAGGCAGCTGGTCAATGGGACAGCTTCTATGGCATTCATCAGAACAGGTACAGCACTGTCTCACCATAAAACAGCATCTTATTTAGGAAGTTTTGATCAAAGCAGAGCCTATTACTGTACAGTATTTGCATAATAATGATATACATCTGTCATTCTGATGTATGGTTGAAAGATCACTTTTGTTTTGACATATGTAAATCTTAAATGTTATCTGAAATTTTATTTTTTTATTCAGGATGATTAAATTGTACTGTATTTTCAAGCCAATGATATATATATATATATATATATATATATATATATATATATATATATATATATATATATATATATATATATATATATATATATATATATATATATATATATATATATGTATATATATATATATATATATATATATATATATATATATATATATATATATATATATTATATATATATATATATATATATATATATATACTGCATATATATATAAAAGTCACTGGCCGCCATTTTGTATTCAATAATGGAAATCACAAAATAGCACAGTAACTCAGTCTATTTTCATTATCATTTATGTCATATATTTAATTAAGTTCATCCATGAGCTGTCAAGGTAGGTATCATAGTGCATACACCAGCTTCAGGCTTATTGGCCTTGAAGAATCCCATCAACTGCTGAGATGAGAATACCATGCCAATGAAACTGTTCATTCAGATGTGTTGTGTTAACCTATAAACTTTAGAAATTTGATGTCTGTAAATTTATGCCATGTCTGAACACAGTATATGAGCAAGTTCAATTTACCCAATTTTGCTACAGTACATACAAAGAGGAACTTTTCATATTGTGATAAGACTCGCATGTTCGTAATAGTTATTTCTCTTTTCAGATTCTTCAAAGATAGACATTGGCTCTTCACAGAATTTCCAGAGTTAGCACCACATTTAGCTCATACCTTCCCTGTGAAGCTAAACCCTAGTGAAGAAGCAAGCTCAGACTTGCCGGCAGTACAAGATCAGCATGTTGGTGTGTGCGATGTGAAAGCAGTGAAGGACAGTGATTGTGAATCACCAACAGTAAAAGCAAGAAAAGAATGTTTAGGAGCAAATAACTTGAATGAGAAAGAACTACCCTGCATGTTGGCTAATACTTCTGTACACTGTAGTGACAATCGAGAAAGAGAATCAGAGGACACAGAAGCTTCCAGTTCTGGGATGAAAGAAACTATCAATGGTGAATGCCAAGCAAATTGTGCTAGTACAGAAACAGATGCGGAGGAAGCTTACCCTGGAGAAAATGCTACATTTCGTATTCTTGAAGTTGGCTGTGGAGTTGGCAATACGGTCTTTCCCATTCTGAGAATCAACAATAATGAAAAACTGTTTGTCTACTGTTGTGATTTTTCCAAGACAGCTATTGATATTGTGAAGGAGTCTCCTGATTATGAATCAAAAAGGTATGTACAGTATTGTACTTTAGACCATCTTTAGAGAATCAGTATTAACCATATACTACTGAATGGCTTAATTATCCTTGCTGCTCGTGCACATTATATAGAAATACTTGTACTGTACATTCATTTGTGTGTGTATATCAGATGAGTTCAGGAAGTAGGGTTTTCCATCATAATGGCTCTGTGAACTTTGCTACAGAATGATGGAATGCTTGGCCACCATTAATGGTATACCGGGTATGCTTGTTCATATAATTGTGCAGTGCATTTTTTCCTCTTTTTTTTTTCATCAGGGTTTTAGTGTACAATACTTGTGGAATATGTCATCTCTCTTTTTTTCTTTTTTTTTTTTACAAGATACAGTACAGTAGTCACTGCCTCTGTATATACCATATAGGGCATCAAATATTTAACCAGAGTGAAATACCTCACTTTACTGTACATACCGGTATTTTTTAAAAAGAGTCAAGTGTCAAAAGGAAAGTTGTGCCCTTTAGCAGCCAAAAGTGAGAATCCTGAGTGAAAAATTTATGAAGTGTTTATGTACAAAATTTCCCAGATACTAATCTCCAGCCCAGTTTTGTTTGGTAGACAAAGTAGCTGGGATGTTCAGATAAATTTACATAAATGTTAGAAATGTGATTTTCAATAAGTTTCTTAAAATAGTTTGTTCCACCATACAGTATAACCGATTCTGTATTTTGCCTTTAAATGATGTAAAATGTCTTAAGGTACTGTATCTTGAGCATCAGTTGTATTAGTTGTGTCCCCGACTTACGAATGCCCTCGGATACGAATGGGGTTAAACTTGAAATATACATTATTTTATTTACCTGATGACTTATTTTTTACTTTCATTTACTGTATTTTGTCATTCTATTTCTACCTTTGTCTTAAATTAATGATTTTAGATGGGATTTTAAACATTGTTCTCTAAGTACGGTATGCACATTGCATGCGTTCTGACTTACGTACAAACCCGACTTAAGATCGTCCTCGGGAACGGAACCCGTTTGTAACCCGGGGACCCACTGCACTGTACAAAGCTCTGGCAAAAGGTTGCAAATTTAGCTTGGACTGTTTCTTGGTGTATTGTACGTAATGTATATAGACTTTTCACCAGTTAATCAATTTATCAGTGTGAACTTTGATGATAATGTTGTGTTTTCAGATGCTGTGCTTTTGTATGTGATGTGACTGGTGAGGACTGGCAGGCACCTTTCCCAGAAGCAAGTTTAGACGTTATTATTTGTATCTTTGTCCTGTCTGCACTTCATCCCAACAAGTAAGCATTATTCATTGGGCTGTTTATCGTGGATTTTGTTTCTATATTTTACTATCTTCATTTACTAAATACTACACCTAGAATATAATTTTCAGGTTATATGATGATCCTCATTACATTTTCTCCACTGTATGAAATTTCTTCCTCAAATTTGTTGGCTTCTTGCACATTACTGAAGATAAAACCCTTAGTAGCTACATACCGGTAATGAGGCAGTGTGGCCAGCATTGCACTTGCCTGTCTTTACTTTCCCAGTTATAAAGTTAGGTCCAGTCAGACTATAAATTACTTTTACCCCAGGTTGTGATGGATTTTAAAATGAACGTTACCTTTCCTGTCGTCTCAGTAGGGTTTGTAAGCATGATAACAGCAACATTTCCCTTATCCTTTTTTTTTTATTCTAAGCATATTTCAAAACGGCAAATTACAATTTAAAAAGTCAGCAAAAATGGATATGCCATTACACTACAGTACTTGTTTTTAATGAATTGAACCAAATTTAAGGTTACATACATAGAAAAGGAAATTCTATCTTGAACGAGTGACAGGAATACCTATTGTGTCACTGGTTGCTACACATACTGTATTCCCATTTAAAGAAAGCAGGGCTACCAATGTGAAGCCAGATGCAAGAGCTTTGTACAATTTTGGGGGGGCTAGTTTGTCATATTGCCTGGCACCAGAGGTGTAAAGATAATTTATGGTCTGACTGTACATATTCACAGTTGGATGGGCTGGGTGTTTCCCAAGTTGCCTAAGATATATTTATCATTTCCTCCTCACTGCTACAAAATAAGAGGTTATGGGTTTGTTTACTGTATGGGCATGCAGCTGAATTTCTTAAAGCAATATGCAGTAATGCTAAATCTGGCACACAATATAGAAAAAAAGGCTGTTTTCATATGAGCGACATCACAGTTTGAGGGTGGTTTAAGTAGGAAAATACTTGTACGAGTTAAGAAGTTACAATATCATTGACACCTTTTCATCTTTTTAGGATGAAACATGTTGCAGGAAAGATGGCTGAGTATCTTCGTCCTGGAGGGATTTTACTCTTCCGTGATTATGGTCGCTACGACATGGCACAACTACGGTTTAAAAAGGGAAGATGTCTTGCAGACAACTTTTATGCTCGTGGAGATGGAACAAGATGTTACTTCTTCACTCAAGGTATGAGATAATAACTTTTGGATTTTACATATATTGTTTGATAGTATGATACTGTATGGATAGATGACATGCAGAAGTTAAGAGGTGCTCAGTGGGCAGTAAAGGCTTAAGGCAGAAGGTTATAGAAATGAATTTGGGGGAGGCCATCATCCAGCACTGATATGATACAGGATGATGAGGACTGTGTGAAAATTAGTCTTGTTTTGAAATAATGCAATAGTAACACACTGAATTTGGAAAAATTCCTTGGAGTTGGCTATTAAACCAATAACCGTGACATTTGGGAAATCAAGGGTACCCCGTATACTGTACTGCAAAAATATATGACGTGAAATTTTTTTTTATGAAATTGATTACAGGTGCATATAAAATTTAAAAGCCAGAAAAACCATATAAAAACTTTGTAATCATCGTGGGTGGTAAATTATGAGTATAAAGTGTGGTGGAGAGTAACTGGCACAAGTGCTGAGTGGGGGTTGTTGTGATGACAAATGACATAGATGTGGTGGTGCAGCGATGTTTTTTTTTTTTTTGGGTACAAAGTGGGTGGTAAGCCTTTGCGTAGGTGATGAGCCAGGTTGTGATGGTGTGGGTGAGGGGCCACTGAGGACAGGAGAAGGAGGGTGATGAGGAATAGATAATTCCAAATAATTCTATGATGATGATAGCGAGTTGATTTGAAGCTCCACCAACCTTGTGTCTCACTCTAGAGCAGTGGTTCTTAGACTTTTTGCCTCGCCCCCCCCCCCTGCATAAGTCCTAGATCCCCCCCCCTGATGCAACCCTTGGTTATTATAGAGTGGGAGGGATGAGCAATCGTGTACAAAACATTCAGTTCCAGACCAGACTTTTCTCTCTGACCGCTTGCGTCCCCCAGTTTAAGAACCATTGCTCTAGAGTGTTTACCAGTCATCAAATTTTCATTTTTAGTGTGATTATTGGCGCACAGTTTTAAATTCAAGGTGCCAAATGCCAATCGCCTGAAGATGATGATGCCACAATTTTGCTTAATTATCTAAAGACGAAGATAGCAGTTAAAGGGTGAATAACAGGTGTAAGAAATAGCTACTGTACTGACTTCAACACACCCACAGAAACATATAATTACTGTCATCCAAATGTGTAAAGCTAAGCCAATCAAATTTTGTAAACTATGCATCCAGTTTTACTTCTGTCCATTAGCTTGAGTTGTAATTCATATGACATCCAGGTGTAAATAAAGTTGTGAGAACCCCTGGCTTGTGATCCTGTATAGGGTGTATATATGATAGTACAGTACAGTGAACTTGTTCAGTACACCATCAGCCAGGAGATCCTTAGAATCATATGATGATCAGGACTGCCATCTATTGCTTTGCGCCCCCCAGGCCCAGATGTGGGTCAGTGACCTGTGCCCAGGTGGGCTAACCCCAGTAAAAAAAAAAATATAAATAAAAAAATCCTAGTACTGTATGGGTGTTATGTCATAAGTGACAAGGGCTGAATTGTCTACCGAGTGCAATATACAGTAGGGTCGGGATATATCGTGAGATAGGGTCCAAGGATGTTCACCATATACTAAATCGCGATACATGTATATAATTACATGTAATCAATGGGAAAATAGGGTTAGGTTCTGGTTGTCCAATAAAAGTGACTAAACTTGACTTAACGAGTTTATTTTCTTACTAACTAAAGCACCAATGAACACTAGACTCGGAAACACCAGACTCGGAACACCAGACTCAAGAACACCAGACTCGGCAGCTGACTTGCCATCCCGGGAACACCAGACTCGGAACATCAGACTCAAGAACACCAGACTCAAGAACACCAGACTCGGCAGCTGACGTGCCATCCCGGGAACACCAGACTCGGCAGCTGACTCCATACTGCCATCCTCACTTGATAATCCCAAACCTACATAAACAAACACACCAGAAATATTAGTTACAGTACACTTAGGCATCTTAGTAGACAGTAGTAGAGCACGTGGTGACCTTGACTGGATAGTGAGAGCGCAGCGTCCACACGTGGCAAGAGCTGAATCAGAAAGACTGAGCGGGTGAGTGAGCACAGTGGCGCTTCTGGCGAGCAAATAACACATTTGTTTGCCATGGCGGTAAATTTGAAATATTTCCCGCCCGATTTCCCTCGCGAAATAAATAGATTTATCGCTATATATTGGAAAATGTCAATATATACTGTAATTTTGGGAGTCGTGCTAAAAAAAAAATCTTTATAACAAATCGCTATATATCTCAACCCTACTGTACTGTATACACTTTACATAGATAGTTGACTCTCAGTAACTATTACCAAACAGAGGTCTCTTATACTTATGTTTCACTATGCCACCAACCAGTTAAGTGTTGGAGGATCACACTGGATTGCACTGCTCTGTCCATTGTCCTGCACACTGTTGGGTCTCTTGTTTTTATATTCAATTCCTCTCTCCATTTTCCTAAAGCTTGATAGAGTTCTCACTCATAGTCTGAGAATGGACCTGTGATGTTATTTTTAGTTGCATGAAGTTTTGTGAAAAATATGATGGGAAGATTGCTATATCATGGGTCATTTATACCATTTCAGCATATTTTTAGCTTTTCCTGCATCTCTGTTGATTGTACAGTAGTTTTACATTGCCTCCTATTTACAGAGCCTCCCATTTTCGATCTAAACTCCTCAGAATGGCGTTAGCTCTGAGACTGTGTACAGTATGACCAGTCATATGGCCAAAACATTGAAATTAAACAAAGGTTGTTTACTGTTTCTAATATATGATATTGTACTGCAATCTTGTCTAATGGAATTATTTCAGTAGCTTCAGTATTATTATTTTAATTTATACTGTACCTGTACTGTATTATATACTGTACAGTAATATCTCCGTTAACCGGAATCCCTCAAACCCGGAACTCTCTGATACCTGGATTTGAAATTTTATTGGAAAATCATTTCCAAAGCCGTAATTTTTCCGATACCTGGAATATTCCGGGGATGGGGGAGTTTTTTCTGGGTTTGAGAGATGAAAATCGGGCGCATTTTCCAGAAAATCTGAGGAATTTTTTCCGGTACCTGAAAAATTCCGGAGATGGGAAATATTTTTCCAGGTTTGATGGATGATGTAATGGGCAATTTCTGGAACTTCAGAGATCATTTTTCCGTTTCCTGGAAAATTCCAGGGACGAGGGAATTTTTTCCAGTTTTGAGAGAGTCGTCTCGTTACCCGGAAATTTCTCATTCCCGGAAGTGCTCTGCACCAATGGAGATATGACTGTATATACTACAATACTGTAACTTTGTTTCAATTAATGCATGGAAAATTTAGCTGTTTCCCAGATGATAATATAAACCATTGTGTAAATATCATCTTTAATATAGTGCATGAATATGTAGATTATGATAAGTAGGAGTACAGTATGCCGTCTTATCTCTTTACAATAATAAAAAGACTAAATCTCACTAACTTACATATACAGTACTGTACAGTAATTAGTATTTTAAAGGTGATAGACTTAGCCTTAGAGAGGGAATTTCACAGACATTCAATTAGCTATATCTGTACATATTTTCACAATACAGTGGTCGCTCGGTTAACGAACACAATTCGTTCCAGAAGGTCGTTCGTTAACTGAAAATTTCGTTAACCGAAACCATTGTTTTAATGGGATTTTGGGTAATTGGTTCCAGTTCACCGAAAATTACATACAAACTAAAAATAAATGCAGTAAAGTACACTTACTTTGAGGTGTGTATGTAGAAGGCTCCTGGTTGATGATGATGATGATGATGGGAATTAGAATGGGGGTGGAGGAGAAGGGAGAAGAGAAGGCATTGGGGTGGAAGAGAAGTCACCCCATGCTTCATGCCACCATTTCACCCATAAAATTTTAGTTCACTTGGTGTAATTCAAGATTATTTTCTTTATATCAACACTGCACTGCATTATATATTGTCAATATGTAAAATAAACTTCAGAATGACTAATAATTGTACTGTAAAAATGTAAAAATAGTTTATGTTCAAGAGAGTCTCAAGCAAGATGCTTCCTCCACTGAGCAGAGACACAAACTGATGCCATTCTGGGTGAGTCAAGTGGCTGTTTGGCATGCTAAAAACTATTTCCCTGTATTTCAATTATGTTAAATAATTGTTAAAATGACTAAAAAATTTAATATAAGACTTGGAAAATTATTGAACAGTACAACCTTCTTGATATTTACTCAAATGGTAACAAATTTCAGCCCTAAAACCGATTACTGTATTGGCGGACTAATACTACAGCTGGTGAGCAGGCGAAAACATGTTGGGAAAAATTCGTAAGGAATTCGTTCACCGAATTTTTTTCGTTAACTGAATTGAATATTGTTATGGGAGGTAATTCGTTAACCGAAATTTCGCAAACCGAGGCGTTCATTAACCGAGGGATCACTGTACTGTACTCTACAATTTCAGAGGAAGTTCGAGAGCTGATGACAGGAGCTGGACTAGAGGAAGTACAAAACTTAGTAGATCGTCGTCTACAAGTGAACAGAGGTAAACAGCTCACCATGTATAGAGTGTGGTTACAGGCTAAGTATCGCAAGCCAAATATGACTGACTAATCTCCTTCATAGAGCACATTACCTTATCTATTTGTACATTGTTTTTATTATACTTACTTGATGCAAAAGGCCCAAGCATTGTACAGATATTTTGGATCATCTGATCTAACAGTTACATTCAGATAGATAAGTTTTTATTTTGTTTTCACTTCTGAAAACTCTTTATCTGCTACAGCACACAGTGGCCAGGATCAAGATCAACAAAGACTCTCCCCTCACTGGTTGTCATTCACTCTCTCTTTTTGCATCAATAATACACCTTTTCACATATCCGTTGAGACATTGTTACATAACTACGTATTTGACAAATTTCATAACCTAAAGACAGAACACATATCGAATGACAATCTAAAATAATTGTTCGTTCATGCTAACAGAAATGATTGACATAAGTTATGAAGTGACAGACGTGAACAATAAACCGACAGTCTACATATAGTTTGAGAATGTAACAATTGGAGAATGACATACCACCAACAGTTATTTTAGATTGTCATTCGATATGTGTTCTGTCATTCGGTTATGAAATTTGTCAAATAGTTATGTAACAATGTCTCAACGGATATGTGAAAAGGTGTAATCTTCTGTTTCTAGAAATATCAATTCAGCAAGTTGGAAAAACATTCGATAGCATCATTTGCAACTTTTGATAGATGAGTCATGTCGAGTTACACTATTGGTATGTGTTTTTTATTCATGGTGCAAATGAAAATTTAATAGAAATCCATTTTAATATGATTGATATGGAATGTATTACTACAAAAAAATAAAAATTTTATTATAAAAGCATTGTTTCAATATTTATAATCATAAATTGATTTTTTTTAGAAGTTTTCTTCCCCCCCAACCAGTGGACCAGGTGAAATTAGGTATACCCCTGTATTTGTAGTGTCTCCATCCATCTATGCTTTCACCCAAGATATACTTCTAATCATCGTCTTCTGAACCACTTATCTGAGGACTTCCTGTTTGATGTGAAGAGTCATTACTTGTACAGTACTGTATTGTACATAGTTCCTCTGAGGTGATGAGCTTTTACATAAAAGCATAAGAACATGAGGAGTCTGCAATAGGCTGGTTGGCCTGTGCATGGCAGCTCCTGTCTCGAGTTACAACCACTCTCTATCATCCATGAGTCTATCTAGCCTCCTTTTAAAACTTTCCAGCATTCCAGCTTTTACTACAAAGTTGCTAAGCTTGTTCCACTCGTCTACCACCCTATTTGTGAACCAGTTCCTTCCTATCTCCCTCCTAAACCTAAACTTATCCAATTTAAATCTGTTGCTACAAGTTCTATCCTGCTTGGATATTATAAGAACTTTATATCTCCTTTATTGATTCCTTTCATCCACGTAAATACTTCTATCATATCTCCCTGCACTGTTCGTCATTCTAGGGAATGCAAGTTTAGTTTCTTTAATCTATCTTGATATGGAAGGTTTCTAAGTCCCGGAAGCATTTTCGTCATTCTTCGCTGCACCGACTCCAGTGAATTGATATCCATTCCATAATAAGGGCACTAGAACTGAACAACATAATCAAGATGCGGCCTGACTAGCGCGAGATATACCTGTAGTTGCAATATGACCTCCGCACTCTTATTACATAGTCTAGGTCTTTTTGTTATTGCCAGGCTTTTGATTTATTTATAAGTTTCAGATCATTATAACAGCAGGGGACACCGGTAGTCACTGACAGCTAGTAGTCTTAGTACTACTTGGCTTAAGGTGATGTACTTGTTACTGAATAATTTATTATTTGTTAAGATTGAGGCAATGCCAGAGGACTGTTAGACACATTGGGGTCGTCGTCATCATTTTGATTTGCTGGCCATCAATTGCCGGATGGTCATTATGGCTGAAACAGTGAGTAGGTCGACGGAAATATAAAACTGAGTTATGAGGGAGATATGTGGAGGCACGGGAAGGGGGGGGGGGAGCTGAGCTTTATTGTGCACCTGGACATGCAGTTGAGCATTGTTACTAGACCAATTAGGGCTTAGTAACCTTTAAGGTGTATATGAATATACATGTCTACGACTGTATATCACTTGCATATATAATGATCACCTCATATTTGCTGGTGATACATGCAGTAAATGCTGTTAAATGTACTGTAGTGTTTTTTATAACTGATTTCCCCATAAATGTAGCATATTTTTAATTCTTTGATGTGGCTCAGAAAGATTGTTAACAATCTGATCTTTTTCTTGAAGCATAGTGTTCAGTTTGTTGAGATGAGCAGTCAAATTCACTAAAAAGACCAGGTCTAAAAGACAGTCATTACTGGATAATAAGAGAAGCCATAGAGAAGAGATGAGTGACCTGGCCTTTCCTTCCTCCGTAAGTTGGGGTCTTAATCACCAGGAACTATGAGGAATTGAACCTTGTGACTCATGCTTATTAATGAATGGTTCAGGTCAAAATTGTTACCTCAGGGTATTAACTTGGTTGTGCTGAGGTTTTGAAGAAACTTTTCCCACTAGTCATGTGGATCAGTCAAGACTGTATAACCTACTGTTGTGGCAGGAGAAGCCCCGAGTGTGAGCAGATTTATCAGGGGTGTTGTACTGGAGTATCTCAGGTCACTTGTCTCCTCCCCTCAACTGTAAGATAAGCCTTCATGCTTCAGTCACTTATTTTCTAACTATTGATTCACTCACTTTTGCTTACTTCATAACACTGCCCATTATTTTTGAGTCTCTGTTTACAGTATAACCAAGTACAGTATTTGATGGCTAATTTCCATAACTTTTTTTAGAAATACAGTAATGAATACTGTATAATATTAATGTAGTTATAATGAATATAGTATTAATGATATACTGTATTCTTATTGTTATAATATAGGTACTAATCTGAATATCACCAAATTAGCAAGTCTTCCAAATTAAACCGAAGCATCTTAAGGAATTGAAACTTAGAAATTGAGTTGCCAGAATTTGGATGCAGAACTAGATTCCTGATAGCAAATGATTGAAGACAAGTAGAAGTTTATTAATAAGTAATATGAAACTTACAAACCTTAAGATATTGGGTTTGAATTTTGTTTTATGTCTAATGTTAAAAATTCAGTAAATTATCCAGTATTTATATTGTTTGCATATCTATTCCAGTAGTGTACTGGTTTGCTGTAGATAATTTTAACTATGGTTTTGTGAGAATATCTTGCCAGTTGTGAATATGATAAGCAAGGAACGATTTGTGTCTTGGCTCAACCTTGGTGTAGTGAAGGGAATAATCATGCCCTCTTTAGGAGGCTGCGTTGCTGGGGACAAAAAGTGGACTATATTTAAGACATGGGTATGGCTGAATGCTGTGTGATATGACCTTATTATATGTGATTGTAGGCTTGTCAATGATTGGTAGAAGCCTGGGCCACTGTGGTGATGAATGCCAGAGGATTGAGCAACCATACTGATTTACTGAAGCAACCTTGATGATGGTTGAATGGAGTTCAGATAACATGTAATGTTGCCACTTATGCAGTTTAAGTGATTGAGTGACCTGCCGAGTTAGATGGTAATTTTTTATCCATACTAACCTTGCCTATAACACGTGTTGCAAAGGTTCATAATTAAGTATTGGCAGACACAAACCTAGAATAACAATAACTTCAGTCTATGCATTGACTGTAGTGTGAATACTGTCCAGTGTTGATTATTTCCAGAGATATGTGTTTTTACCCTACAAATATTTCTTTTATTATCAGAAGCTTGGGGAACAAAACAAAGAACAATAGGCTATCCACCAGTTGCATGAGAGGATTGTAAGATTTTCACAATGTTTCATTTAGATCATGAGAAAGAAATGTGAGTTTAATACTTAGAGGTGAAAGGCTGACTGAAAGGCAATGTAATGTGCAGCTGAAAAGTTTTAATAGCCTCCACCAGCCCAGAGAGAGAGAGTGTGAGTATGTGTGTGTGTCTGTGTCTGTCTGTCTGTGGGTACATTTGTTGATATGGATGTGTGTTTGCTTATGTATACTTGTTTATTGTGAATGTAATTACATGTGTTTACTTTGGTATATGCATGTGGGCATCAGAAATATCATGACTGAGATAGTGATGGGACATGTCATACCACAACTAACTTATTAATAACAAGTACTGTACTGTATAGGATTATATATACAGAGCTGAATTAGCTGGCAAACAGTTGTTAAGTTGTCTTATAAGGAACATTTCAAACTTTCTAGTTGAGTTACATCACTACAGTTTTAACAAGTGAGAACAATCTGGCAATTTGAATATTTGAACTTATTTTCAACATCAAATCCTTTACATTATTGGTCCCATTATTAAATATATTCATCTGAGAAAAGTTATAAAGAGAGAGAGTATTGTAAAGTAAATAAAGATGGGAATGTACAGGAGAATAATTATGCTGATATTATTGTACAAATGGGCATCAAGAACTTAGGATACAAAAAGAAGAATGGATTTGGGTGTGGCAGAAATGTTATGCTTGAGAGTAATATGAGACACAGGTACAGCAAGAACATGAGGGAGTACTGGAATGAGCTGGCCAGGGTTGGATAAGGTGGTATAAATGGTTCTAGGATGATTCATCATTGGTTCAGAATAACTTAACCTAACCTAACCTAACCTTGTCTAATCTAACTTAACCATGATTTCATTACCTCCAAAGTAAAGATATTATCCAAATATAGTTAATATAACACAGTATTCAATAGACTGGTGATGAAATGTCTGCTCACCGGTATAAACATACTGAAATTGTTCAAAATTAATAATTGATGAAGCAACTGTATACAGTACTATAATTTAGAAGTGGATGGTAGAAGGGAGAAGGAAAGAGCCGAGCGAGACATAATAAAGGGGTGCAGAAGACACTAGTTTGGGGAGGAGGACACTCAGGAAGCAGTGTACATTGAACATATCTCTACTGTACTTGTTTTTATTGGGATGAATGAGTGTAGTGACAGGAAGAAACCAAATTGATATCTTGAGTATTGTACCTTGTTGTGGGAGATTGTGAGGGAATAACATCAGATAAAAGAGAGCTTGTGTCTGGCCACCCTACATCACCACAAGAAAAGCCTTTCAGGGGTTTTGCTTTACGGTACTTGTTTGGTTTTAATAAAGTGTAGCTTAAACTAGAGTAATAACCTAATCAACCCAATTTACTCAGAAGGGATTTGCAAGTAAGTAAAAACATACCTCATTTGTAACAATTCAAGACCAATTCCCTTTGTTGAATGTGTTGCTAACTTGTGTTACTGTATTACATATATTCCTTATGATATTTGTGTGAATGTTATTGAGGGTATACCAGAAGTTTGGACCCATGGGAAATATACAGAACTATATGTTTTATTTCAAA